CTTTTTATGGCACTTTTTTCACTGCAGCAACTTGACAAGGATAAGTGCATGTTGATGGGTGCACACTAGGACGAAATTGGAAAAGGAAGTCCGCAGCTGCCTGGCATCTCTCATGAGATGCACTTGGAAGATAAGAAAGCTAATGTGCGCCGCTTTAATCAACGTTGCAGAACATACCGAATGCATCCTTCACTCCTGAACATCGTGGGGGAATTTCAACGTCGATGGGACAAAAAAAATGGGCTTAGCGCTAGTGCTACACATTTTAATCTTGATTTGCTCTTGAGAAGTTGGCTGCCAATGTTAAGCTGAAAGAAGACATATACAAGTGTGAAAAACGGAAGTCTTCGACGTGGATCAATCCCTTTCTGATGGGAGCATGAGACACGCATTCTACTCCCACTCAGAACCGTACTGGCTCACTGAGTGCGATTTGGTCTGTATAATGACTAGGGGGCCAAACGGTGTACAAGTCAGTGTTCTCATCCTCCCAGACGCATCTGGTGTCAATTCACTGTCCCCGGGAGATAGAAGGCTTGGGAGGCCTGGGCGAGAGCCGATCCGGAATTTGACCCTCAACCGTGCGCGTGTTAAGCACGCTACTTGCCACTGGACCACCTCCGCCTCAAAATGAGATTTTGGTTACATTAACGTCTACTGCGCTTGCCAAAATACCTTCTTAGCCTTGATGCTGGCTTTCAAGTGCACGTTTATGCTTGTTTGAAACCGAGTTGAACCATTCGTTTGAGGAACTTCGTAGAGCAGACGCATCCACCATATCGTAGTCTTGGCGTGTTGGAATGCTACAAATGTCCAGCTTTTTTCAATTGGCAAAGCTGCAATTTCCAGTATCGCCTTAAACTTTTACAACGCTTTTCACTATTGGCAAAAGCAGCTTTAATTAGCCGATCGTGAGCGGCATTGCAAGAGGACACACCGTCGACATCGTCGTATTCCGGGATATGGGGTGGGAGGGAAAGGCGATGATAGGAGGTTCGAGATAAGCCCGCATTGTCTACCACGAGTCATATTCTACCTGAAGCGCCACTGTTGTTTGAGATTAAAGCAGCCATATGAACTTCATCGATCTGACACTGAGCCGCCGGATAGGAGGATATCCAGCCTACCGTAGCGCCGACATATTCCGGCCCGATTTCTGCTCGTCCTTTTTTAATTAAACTTTAGAGTCGGGTTGTTTGAAAGGGCAGCCCAAAAAGGGTGATAAAGTTCCTCTAAGGCTCAATATTGACGCGAATTCGGGAGCAGGCAGGGAAGGACGAACAGTACGAAAACTTTGAGGAGTCCAAGAGAACGTGAATTCGCTGAAGTTGAAACGGAGAGAGTTGAAGTAAGTAGTCAACTAAGTTCCTAATGTCGCTTGATTGTGGCTGCAGATGATGTCTGCTGAAGATTTAGCCATTCGTACGAATGGTTAGTTGACGAATTCCCCAAGAAAAATTTAAATGTTGAGTATCTCTGCTAAGCTATCAGAATGGCCATGGTCCACATAAATTCGTTGAGCCTGAGAGTCGCGTGAGTCTAGGCGAAAAGATCGCTTCACCCAGCAAGTTATCCGCTAATGCAGGACCAATGTCGACTAAACGTGGAACTGTTGTGTGTTGTCGAGTCAACTAGCTAGCAAACACTTTGCCAGCGCTTGAGCTGCTTGGGCGTGGTTCATGGGCGCCACATCGCGCGCATACTAACAGTGTTCCAAGTAAAACGACTTGAGGCCGCTACAGCACCCACCTTTGTCCGCAGTCAAGTCAAGGATTTGTGCTATACTGTTAGTGGAGATGAAGATATATCGCGCTAAACGTCCGCTCTCTGTCGCTATTTCTACTGCCACTTCTAGTCTCTTTGCTCCCAATCTCTCTGCTTCCCTACTCCACCCCCTTCCCCATTCTCTCCTAACAACCTGTCCAGATACGTGGCTAATCACGAAGACCTGTGCGCTGAACCTGTCCCACTGAAGCTTACTCAATGTGCGATCCATCAAATATTTGACAAGCACTCTACTTCGAGTGACGGTAGATAGGCACCAAATAAGTGTCGATGCTAAGCAGAAGAGGAAGTCAGCAACTACTTGGTCGTGTAAGAAATTTCCCCGTTTTCGCAACCTACTACCTTCAATATGCGAAATTGGCCAACCAGTTGAGTGGTTAGACTTTCTGCCGTTATTTCTACTGCCACTTTTAGATTCTATGCTTCCCCCCCTCCCCATTCTCTCCTAACAACCCGTCCAGATAACTTGACTAATGCAACGAAGACACTGTCTTGAAGCTTCAGCTGCGTACTTCAATGTGCGATCTATCAAATATTTGATAAGCACTCTATTTCGAGTGACGGTAGATAGGCACCAAAAATGCCGGTGCTACGCAGAAGAGGAAGTCAGCAACTACTTGGTCGTGAAGAAATTCCCGTTTCGCACCTACTATTTCAAATGCCGAAAAGTTGGCCAAGCAGTTAAGTTCTCAAAAACGAAACAACATAATCACTCGTTTGAAATTACACATGACAAGATTGAGAGGGGAGACGGCACAAGGCCGTCACCTCAACACCGCGTGGAAACTAGGTTACCGCGCGCGGCAACCTGGTCGCGTGGCGCGGCGGTGAGTCTTGACTTGGCATTTTGCCAACTTCTGATCGATATGACCCTATCGCAAACTGCTTGGACCGTTCTTTCTTCTCCTCATCTTCCAACTGCCAAGAACATGTCCAAACAAGTGGACAATCTCAAAAATGCAAACATGTTAAAGCATCTGTAATCGCCGCGTGGCGTCGGTGAACCGGCACTTCCAGCGCGCGACTGCCCAGTTTGACGCGGTCATGTAAGTCCCCCCTGACCACACAACAAAAACAGAATGGGTATGGCTCTAAGCTGCTGGGATTGTCCTCTGTTGAGGAAATTGGAACATTCTGCCCAAAGTACGTCATCGTCAATATACTCGGAAATTGATCATTCAAAATATGTAGACCATCTAAAGTGAAACTTCAGACCTCGAGGTTAGCCGTAATGCGGTTTCCGAGGTTCGAGAGCTATATCGTTTCGCGAAAATTGTAATCCTGGCCGAACACTGAACAGGATGACACCTATCTCAAACTGGAATATCCCACCAGTAACCCATTCTGTGCCATGTTCAAGGGCCACGCCCACTCCGTCTCAGGATATAGGAGTGTATCGGAATCACTGTGAACGGGATTTTGATCGTGCTAGAAGAGCATCCGCGGACTGTTTTGCTTTCGGTTGTCGACTACCTTTAGAGCCCTTTTGCAATAGTTTGAACATTAACTTTTTCTCCTTTGAAAATAGATTCCCGTCTAACCATCAGGTGCCTTCCAAAGAAACACCGTCCTGTAGAGTCCAGTTACACTCCTTATCCCTGAGCCAGAGTAGGCGTGGCATTTGAAGCATGGCACGGAATTGGTTACTCGTGGAATATTCCGGTCTGGGACAGAGTCATCTTGTTCTCTGTTGGACAGAGACACGACAACAATTGTGTCAAAATAAAAATATCCCACCAGAAACATAAACACCTTCAGGTTATGTTAAACATGCGGCCACGCCTACCCGATCTCAGGGATTTCGAGTATATCTCCCACCGGGATACCTTACCGATGTCACTGAAGGTAATACTGGTCAGTTAGTAAGTAAGTAGCGGAAGTAAGTTTTCCAGCTGACGAAGCTCTCCTCCTATAGCCGAGCGATCGTTTTCAAAATGAATAAACCATCGCTTAGTATCAATAAACCTATAGCAAGAACTGTCATTTGAAAGTGCGTAAAAATACTACAAAACTTCATGAATAAAAGGACGGTTGTACTCGTGTGAATTGCACGAAAAAAATGCGTCCATATTTTCAGTAGCTACCCTGTACATATGTGCCCGGGAAAGCCAACAAGCAAAAAATTCACCACCTCAAATTCGACTCGTCCAGACGATGAAAACATATACACCGTCTCTTCTCCGCCGACGGATCCCAACAAAACGACACTATGTGCCCTTTCATCCAATAATTCGCCCAACTCCTCAATTTCTTCGGAGCACCTCCAAAAATGGAATATGTGCCAAAAACTGGTAAACAAGCATAGGAGATGCCAACAAACATACGCCGATACAATCCACTAAAGAAAATAACGGAAACATTCATTTGTTAAAGAAAACAATGCTTTTTTGTACAAAAACATCTCCCCCAATACATCTCATTAGGACCGCAAGTTAGGCGACGGGAAGTGCATTTTGCACTTTTGCTGCTTCGTTAGTTCCGGTTTACATGTCTAACTCTGGTGAAACCTATGAACTCTAGCGAAGCTGAGCTAGCTCAACCAACCACGGTAACTTAGCTCTCTAGATGGCTTGACAGTCTAGCGGGAAGTAGTAAAAAAGCTAAATACCGCACCTCCCTATCGCCAAACTGCCTCCATCCAATGGTTTAAGAGAGAATTCCTGATTTTTTACATTACCAGAGGAAATTCTTGAAAGGAATGGGATTGCGAAGAGTTATGCTCCACGTCAACCGATTCTAAATTCTCAGCTTACATGAAGGTGCTCGAACAGAGCTCTGCAGAGTGCCAAACACGCTTTCGCGATACGTGTCGCACTTTTACACAACAGTTTCCATTCCACACACTCATGCTTTTAAGGCAGCGTTCAGACTTCGCGACGGCAGCGCCTCGGTCGCGCGTTGCGCATGCTTTTGACTGCATCGATCGCGTCAAACGCGCGACCGAAGCGCTGCCGTCGCGAAGTCTGAACGCTGCCTAACACAGATTAATTGCATCATAAACATCTAATGATAAGGAAACAACAGGGGTAAGCTACCAACCAACACCTTAATTAGTAAACTCACAAATAAACCTGTAAGGGAAAACGAGAAGCTACACCTAAAACGAGGCAAAAACAAAACCGAAACTTCCAGACTTTGGGTCTTTCTTGTGCGACGAAGATTACGGTAGGTCTTACTTCTACTCTAATCCCTGCCATGTATGAAAAACATTGTTTTCAAGGTTTCTGTTGTATCCTATATGATTCTATTGGCTTGACACGAAATTCTGCAATTGAATCCAATATCCAGTCTACGACAAGTACCTAGAAATGAAAATGAATTGAAGAATGGGTGGCAACTCAATAGCTGAATGATGAAAAAATAACCCACAGGGACGCCATCCATGCTTGCCTCATATCGACGTGCCACATCAAATTCCGTAGAATGCGACATGAAGATTGTGTAGGCATTCTTGTAGTTGACAAGTTCCCAGGGTTTGTCACAACATGTTCCCCCACATAATGTAATAAGTTCCTTCAATTTCTAAAATAAACAAATACAGAATTTCAGTGATGATAAAAGCATTGTTGCACGGTGAGAATAAGCGAATAGAAAATTAAAGACATCTATGAATGAGCTATGATGAATAATGCCCAGGGATCTGTAATCGCATCATTAAACTCGTAGTCTCGTGCTCATCCTGATTATGGTACGCGAGCGCTGCTAGGGCACTGGTGAAACCTGTCAGGCTGCTTTTGTAGGTTACTTCAGCGCTTTGAGCGCTAGGAAGCGTTTTTAAGCGTTTCCAGCCACAGTACAACATCGCTGTGCGGAAGCCACAGGGGGAGGGGGTCGTTCTTGGGATGAAAAAATTCAAAAATAATAAAAAATAGTGATAACAACAACGATAATACAGTATAATAATGAGCGAATGAATAACGTAATGAAAAACCAACACCGCAGCTTAGCATTCTGCGTGTCGTTTAAAAAGGGCTGGGCCTTATTGATCTTGTGAGAACGAAATTCGAATTTCGCTTTTTTTCAATTTTTTTTTCATTTCAGTTCAACTCGAATCCTCGTTATTGTAGACGGAGTGCTTTTCAATTCTCCTTTCATGGGATGGAAACTGCAAGTGTCTTCTTTCAATCACGCTATCTCCCGACAACGTGATTGTAAAAAGCAACCATCCATATATCTCTGCAGAAAATTCTGTTTCCTTTCCCAACAACTTTTGAAAAAAGGCGTCGGCTGAGCAATGCGAGACAGTCCCTAGGGAGTCAGTTTTCAGAAGACAAATGAACGAACGTCGAACGTACTTCATGGGACAGCATCTGCGAATGTGAGAACGTCTTCGGAAGAAAAAAGCTCATCTGACCAAACAGTGGTTGTGTGGTTTGTCGTTCTGTCGGCAGACCATAGACGTTCTTCATCCGGAGTTTCACATGCCACACATTACTGTGTTTCTAAAAATTACCTCGATTCAACCAAGATTCATCGCATAGTAGCATGTTCCTAGAAGCAGCGACCTGCTTATTAAAATGCGCCATGTTTTGATATATTTTCCAGTTTACCATCGTGGGTTAAAAAGTACCACCCCCTTGTTGAATCTGGAACAAGCGGGTTCTCTTGCCAAAAACTCTTCTAGACCCCCAAAACAATGCATTTCGCTTGCTCTCTGCTGAGAATACAGCCTCAACTTTTATCCCGTAAACCTACGCACCTTTGAGATCATGTACTGTATATAGGCATGTCCTTCAGAACCCATCGATAGGCTTCGTCAGCCTGGAGCAAGTCTGTCACACAGACCCCTCTCCACATAGTGCGGGACCCCCCCCCCCAGAACCATAGAACACAAATACTCACCGTAGGTAGTAACTGTTGTTGACTTTACGGGAGTGCTGTCCAAGCTGAGCGACAGCAGCAGTTCACATTTTCGAGCTACGGGACACAAAAACATAGCGGACGAGACACGTCGCCTCCGCATACACCTCTCCCATCTTAGAAAAAATTTTACCATTGAAAGCAGAGACGAGATTACCGAAACTAGGCGTTTCTCACCGCGTAAAGTTTGCTAAAAAATCAGGGAATTGATCACCAAAACGTTGCTGTGACAAGAACAAATAATGTTCCGGAAAAAATAGATGACGGTAACTGTGATGAAAAATAAATTCATCCTATTATATCTACTAGCACTTAACCTTTGAGCCACACCGTCACGCTTCCCTGAGACGGTTGCCTTTCTTCAGTGGTCACTGCTCTCGCAAGAGTGGCTTAGATTTTCTCCACTCGATTGTGCACGGAAAATAAAGTAAGGGGTCGCCTATAGCTGGGTGTTCTGGATAAATCCGCACAATGCTTTTTTCATAGCTGATGTCGCCACCAGGTATGTCAGCATTATTCGCAGTGGGCCGAGCGACAGATGGGCCCCCTCAGCCAGCTGAAGGTAGGAGGCAAGCTGTCCAAACAGTCGAACTGTAAGGACAACTGGCACACCCGCACAGATGATGAGAGGGCGCGTGCGCAACTAACAACAATGTGTCGATGCATTAATGCGCGGCCGACTCCAGGTAGTGTGTTCGCAGACGCTAGTCGCCTCGGACGCAAGGAACAGCCATGAAACATATACTATCAGAACCTTTAGTTTAATTTCCAGACATGTTGAGGTTTGCCAAAGTTTGGGTGCCATTTTTGTACCTCATGGACCCTGGTTTCGCCTTCGACAAGTAGGGATCGGCTCCTCGCAGGCACACGGAACAAAGACTTTGTTAATTCTTTGAGGAGTAAGATCGGGTAACAGTCATGAGAAAAAAGGGGGGGTAGTTCGCGACGGGGGTGCGGGTGGGGGCATTCTGGACTGCTTCTTCCATCGACGTGCCGACCTATCTAGAGCTGCTGCCGAACCTGCCGCCGAAAAGGATTTTAAAATGCACAAAACTGAGAAAGCGGTTCCCACTATCATTATTTAGAAAGTGCGTTACTTGTATAAGAACAAACTCCGCAATCAAATTACCGCTGTTCTAGAGCAACAATCTTCCCTTCTTGACACCTTCTGAATTATGGTGGCACAACAGCTAACGCACTTATTCATCCTCACAAATTAACATCTATATCTTGGGGTCTTGAGGTCCTATCCTCACATCAAACCCCGCGCCTTGTGCGACTGCGTGAGATGATGCTTCCTAAACCGTAGCGACGTTGTCGGAGCTGCTCGATGTTGGAGGTCTTCCAAATCAAGAGTACTGGTCTCCAGGTAGCTATCCATGGATAACTCCATGCCTAGAAGTTTCGCAGCTGTTTGGAGGTGACATATTCCAAAGGTCTTCTCCAATCAGGCTGCGACTGGGGAGGATTGACTTCATATTTTGGTGTACATGAAGGTGATGGGCGAGCGCCAGCTCCTGCTTATAGAGGAACATCTTGGGTATCCTCCGCCCTGGTACTCGTATCCACGTCCTCTGTCTGGGCTGCGAAAACTTTGCTGATATGTGACTCGGTCGAAATGTCTTTCCCCCTGTATTCTTCTTCACGAATTAACATCTATGTCTTGAGACCTGCTCATCCGCATAATCCTTGCTCTTCCCACCGTTACTATGAGAACCTCTCTACTTCTAACAGTACACGATAACGGGCCTGCTAACATAAGACATGGAAAATCCTTGCAGAGCTTAGTAATGACATGCCAGGAGCACATCATTCAGGCCAAATTGAGGTGTTGCGAATGAAAGAAAGTAAGAAAATTGATGGATAATGGAAATATAGAGAAAAAGGAAGCAAAACAGAACTCACTGGAATTCATCATAACAAGATGAGTAGAAGAAGCTGTAATATCCTCCTCGAAACGAACTTGTGGAAACATCTTGACAAAGTCACTCACTACCCTCTCAAGTAATTATAGATGAGTTTTCACGAGCAAGTAACCAATGCTTCCATGAGAAGTGATATTCTTACCTCATCTTCGATGCATTTCAACCGCGACACACTTATAACCATAGGTTTCTGATCGCTGGGATCTGTGTCGATGTCAAGAGAGGAATAACAGTCAAGGTCTGAAATATGACCAAACGAAAAATTAACCAAGATTCTTCCACAGATTTCTTCAACCTCACAGAAATGAAAGAAATATCTTACCGCAAGGAATCGAGTCGAAAGGAACTTGTATTGTGATATCCATATTTTCATCATCGTCATCACCAGCTTCGCTGCCTGGACAAGACTGTGGAACAACATCGCTGGACGACCGTGTGCAAGAAGAATTTGGCCGGTCAGTCTCCTGAAGTGTAGCCAAAATCATACCCGTGATTTTTCTATCTATCGAAAGACTACACTGGGCCGCTATCGATGTGTACAGTTTGGATTGTGAGTAGTACTGAGATGTTCTCAGAGTGATTTCACTTGCAGCACTCGATAATGCATAGCAATAACAAGCAGGCTGCAAGGAAGTTACCTCTGCTGGCTTGTCCACCTTCCCATTTGGATCTTCGATCAAGTTAGCGCTCATAACAACTTCTGTTTTCAAGAGAGCAGGTGGTTGAGTAGCGTTCAATTCATCGTCATCGTCACTAGCGAAGTCATCTGAAGAGAAAAGGATACTGAAATCAGGAATCCTCACATTTATCTTGGAAGAACTTTGAAAGACACCTAAAGTAAGAGTCTCCGATGAGCAACCTTCTACTGCTTCTTCAGCTGGCTTCACAGCCTCAGAAGTTGGCGCAACGGGAACAGGTTGTAACTTTAGAGCTTCACAAAGTGCACGAACATTCTGCAGAAAAATAGTGGAGGTAGAGTATCAACAGGTAAACAGAAGCACGTGTAACCTCCGTCAAAAGATCCTTCAATTCAGGCATGAGCACAAAGAGGGCACTGAGATCCGAAGAACATTGAGCGGTATGGTCAGGGTTCATCCCTGAAAATTTCATATTCGAGAAGATTGTAGGAGAAACAAAGAGCTCCCAAAATATAACATACTGCGAAATGATGCTAAAGACCCTCGCAAATCACGGCAAACACAGTTTGGATCAGGAAGGTGGCACTGCACTTCGGCTGACTTTATTTGGGTTTTTCGAACAATATCAGCTTCACATCTGCGAGCCAAAATCGGAGGCTGAAAAGAAAGCCGTGAAGCACTGGGCATTCAAATCAGAAGATCTATTAAAAAATGGAACACGGAACATGATACTTAAACGTTCAGGGAACAACAATGGCAAAGTGGAAAAGTTTGCCTCAATATGACCCCTCACCAAATTCCCTCTCAGATCACGATTTCCTGTTTCCATGTTAGTTTTGGGATCATAAGGTACATTGACAGAAACCCCTACGCTGATTTCCAAGAACCCATCACATCATGCTACCGATCACTGACCGCCTCAGAAACCGAAGGAACGTAACTAGCCATAGTGTTCTTTTAAAAATCAATTTTTTTGCAACCTACAAACAACTTCGTGGATACCGCTATTGAAGCTTTGATTGAAAATTCGTAGGGCCGCGTTCATAGCTTGCGACCGTGAAGAAATGCAGAAATGCGGAAACTGCAGAAGTGCGGAAAGTGCGGAATCTGCAGAAATGACGAAAAGCAATAGATACGTATCGATTTGAAGAAATGCAGAAATGCCGAAACTGCAGAAGTGCGGAAAGTGCAGAAATGACGAAAAGCATTACATACGTATCGATCTGAAGAAATGCAGAAATGCCGAAAGTGAAGAAGTGCGGAATCTGCAGAAATGCAGAAAGTGCGGAAAATCGATACGTATCGGTTGCTTTTCGTCATTTCTGCAGATTCCAACTTCTTCATTTCTGCATTTCTTCATGGTCGCAAGCTATGAACGCGGCCTAAGAGAATCCAATGCAACACTCTTGGTCACACCTTCCTACGCACTTGCTGATTCTGGACACCGGCATCAAACGGCTGTAAGGGAGTGTTTTCCTTGCATTCGGCTTCCTCAGCGATGACGTCCATTTTCGAAGTCTTTGTTGCGACTTCAATTTTCAGCGGCTGTTTTCGTCTGGCTCGCTAAAATATCCTATGTACGCCTAAGACCATTGATGCATTGATAAAAGAAAGAACCGAACTAACAGCCTTAGGAAGAACAAACTGAGGCGTTGGACGGAAATCACGCATCGGGCTATCGCTCACTTTAGCATCTACAGGTACCTGAAGCAAAATGATCGACAAATGGAAGTGGAAGGGTGACAAAAAAAACGAATCAGGATATGTCCATTGTACGGACTTGACTATCCATGAAAGCGACATCCTTGGGAATGGAAAGCGTTTGTTCTTGAGAATCCCGAAGAAAATTTCGGCCAAGTTGAAGGTATCCTTGTACCAGTGACTCATGTTGTTCGGACGGGGTACAACTCCTGGAAGCATCATAGAAGGAAAAGTGGAGCTACCTAGTCTTGTGTCGCTACGGATGAAGGGCGTGTCAGGTGGGATAGGTTTGGCGAGGGGCCAAATTCGTCTTCAACCAGTTTTTGAAGCGAGCATGCGACAAGACTACATATACCATACCGTTTTTCGTCAATTGTTGTCGCTTACCCCCTTCAACAACTGCAAGAGAACGAGTTTGGCGCCGCGCCAAACCCAGCCTCACCGACACGCCCCCTCATCCGCTGCGGAGCACAATGTATAACTACTTAGAAATAAAGCAGAGGCAAATATACCTTCTGTTTATGGATTGACGACATAATGGGCATTCCACGACTCGTCGACGTTGGAAAACAACATCCAAGCAATCTTTACAAAATACATGCCCACAAGTAGCTGAGACAGGATTCGAGAATGTTGAGCGACTAAAAGGGGGAGAAAGAACTAACTGAATTTCCACTCGGGTAAGTTATACCGCAGTAACTAACCATATACCACATTTAAGTTCAGATTGGATCTTGGCCATCACATTATTAATCTTCAATGCTAATTCATAGAGTGATTGTACCGACATGTTGGCCCCTGCAAATAACCTTCTGAATATGCCGGTTTAGAGAGCTTTGTAACAAATTAAATAAATTTGAGACACTTGAAGTGTTTGATACATTGCATATCAACAGTGAAAGAACAAAAAAGTAGTTTTCTCCAAGCCAAAAAAATCATCAAACCACTGTCAATACATTTTTGAAAGGAAAAATTTGCATACGTGTAACCAACTAAAGAACAATCAAAGTAGAAAACTTGCGCTGAATTCAGTACAAAATGTGAAATGTGGGCAAAGAAAAATGCACTGAAACCAATGCAGCCTACTCTGAATATATTGAAAAATGCTTTCCGAATACTTCCCAAATGTAGAGAGAAACCTCCGTCCTAATACAATCTCTTTCTTAGGAGAAATTAAGCGACTGGCTCGATGTCTCTTGAACAAAACTTTTTATTCATAGTTCACAGTTTTTCATGCTATCGCGCAAGTCTCAATTATTCCATACCGAAACGTAAAACAAGAGTTTCATATTTATAGAAATAAATAATAGACAAAACATTACAAAACTTATACTTTCGCGCTCGGCCGCTCACTGTCCTTTAAAGAAGGATTAGAGCACGGAAACTCAGGCTCATCCCTGCTGAACTTTGCGGTCGGGAGGAATACTCAACGCACAGAAGGTAATGCTTCCTCCGTTAACCTGTCTCTTTTGAGATGCACTGGACTTCCATTCAGGATCGTA